TAGTGGTGTTAATGCAAATGGATTGCATAAAAACCATCGGATGATATGTGAGTTTTGGTGAAAAAATATTTTGTGTAAACAAATATTTTTTTTATTGAAACCATTAGTTAACTTGGTGGACTCTTAACAAAACACTATTCTCGCGTGTGCTTTTTACTGACTGGTGGTGATATTCATAGTTGCACTAAAACCACCAAATGAATTGTGTGTTTTAGTGAAAAGACAATTTGACAACTTTAAATTTTCATTTTGTATTGAAACTACCAGTTGAATTGGTAGTCTAAATACAAAATAAAAATTATTGTTTATTCATAAAATTACTTTTTGCTGGCTACTTGTCAATACGGGTTATTTGTTCTATTGCACTGTTGGTGGTTTCAGTTAAACACTCTCTCTATGGCAGAATAAGCATTAGATTGGTAAATAGTTTTGATTTGGCATTATATTGGGAACTAGTTTTTTGAAGAGCATTATTTTTGTCGAAATCCCAATATATAAAGACAATTTTAAATACGAGAATAATATTTTTGGATTTATAACTCATAAAATTTAATCTTAAAAGCCAAAACAAATACTAAAATTTTAGGTCGTACTCTCCTAAGAAAATACAACATCATCACACAACTTAAATATATATAAACTAGTTGTACGTCCGTACATCGTGCGGATTAACAATTATAAATAATTGATACAAATTATATTTTGATTGAAAAATGTAAGTAAATTAATATGATGAAAAGATAATATTTGTCAATTACCTTTTTTTTTATTCTTTGACTATGATAATAAAAACTATTAATCCTATATATTCAAAAGTGATAAAAGAATTCCACACTAACAAATTAAAAATAATAAACTCACTCTCTTAGCTAAACTTAAAAAAATAAATATAAACATTACTTTTTAAAATTAAAATAATTACTCATACCATAAAATGATCTGAATAAAAAAAGAAATAAATTTCAAGAATAGTTAATCATACGTGTCTTTCGTCAAGGTATAAATTTTTATCGCTATCTAAAAATATATTGAACATAAAAAAAGAAAATAAGAATTTGTGTGATATCAATTTATAGTGTGGTTATTAGTTATTGAAAAATTAATTAGTGTTCTATTCTTATTACAAAAATTTATTATTTAGATCATTAATTATTGCAAAAGAAAGAAAATAAAGGGTTTTTTTATTAATGAAATAAATTTATTTTATGATTATTAATTATTGAATAAAGAAAATGAAAAGTTTTATAATTTGATTAGGTGGTCTCCAGCGCTTTGTGCTAATGTATAGTATACATTTTTTTTATTTAAGATGTTAGACATGTTTGTTAATTAAGTTATCAAAATTTTTTTTCAGAAGTTAAAGGCACTTAGCAAATTAAATGATTGAATCATATCATAACTGCATTCTTATTAAACTTTTTTATCCCTATCATAATTGAGATAAAATAGTTAGAATATCTAGATATTATTAGGTTCTTAAATGTGAAGAATCTTTTATTCTTATACAAATTAAAAGAATTTTAATTATATATAAGAATAAAAAAATTTGCATAAAATGGTAAAATAGAAGCATAATCTTTTATTCTTTTATTGCTGTTAGTTTTATTCATTTTAATTCAATTCAAGTTGTTGATTTATTTAAGTTTGATTTTAAGTAATTCAACTTTTGTTCTTAAATTTTTAAAACTTATAAAACTGTACTCAAAATAATTGAACCATAATTTAATTTAAAACTCATAAGATTGAAAAGCAAATCATAATTAAACAATAAATGGGAGACAGAAAAAAAAAATTATAAAAAAGGATAAATATTGAAAAATTTCTCAATCAAGATAAATAGAAATGCTAAAATGTTAGGAGTTTCATTTTTCTAAGGAAATGCCACTTCAATATATTGCAAAACCTTCATATTTCTCTTTTATATATGTACAATGATAATGATATGTAATGATTTGCAAAAAGATCAGTAACTTAGAAACTATTTACGCATCAGCAGCAGAGAAAAATGTGGAAAAGTCTCTACAAATCAGGTGTTAAAAGTGCAAGATTTTCATATCAGAAACCATAATATTTTCATATCAACAATGTCTTAAGATCCAAATACAATCATAATCACAAACCTTACAAGGATTGAATCCAATCACAATCAAACCTAGGAAGTAAACTCTACCAAGATCCTATTCCAGAACAAGGCAAGGATATTTTATTCAAGACACGAAATGAAAATGCTACAATAACTTATTCAAACATCAGCCACATAATGACTGAGGATGGTTCATTGTTTATAACGTTTATGTAATGCTTTATAAATCAAGCCTATTATGAGTTAATTTTTCTTTGCGATGAACAGAATCCATAGCTGCTCTCCAGCTGAACTCCTGATCAGTTTTGCCTTCCATCCATCAACTATATCATTGAAGTCTTTCTGGGAATAGACAATGAACAAAAGCATACAAAGAATGAGTTTGTGATTGAAACGATAAATCAGCCAAATAAGATAAAACCACTAAAACGAGGGCTACACGCACTTCGGAAAAATCATGAATGAATTCATCCTTCTCTTTCTCAACAGCATCTAATTCCCGTTTCAGAACTCGATTGAACTGCAGCACAAGTATAAGTTTTTGACTGCTTATAACAAAGTATATATATGCATCTTTAAGAGTAATAAAAGGTTTGAAGAAAACCTGATCAGTTCTGTCCTCTGCAATGACATCATCAAAACCAGCATCCGTAAGCATCTGCACATTGTTTAGAAAGGTTTTAATTTGCTTTCAGGAGGGAATTATTAACCAAACCACCACAAAAAGCAACAGCGGGCAATAACAATATACTGCAAATGAATAAATACCTGGACATATGGTTTTACTTCATGAAGGTAATATCCTCTTTGCTTAATGTACTCTGCAAATTCTTCTGATGGAGTTCCAGCACTCTTGCAGTAATCACTTATAAGAAATTTACCCCCAGGCTTCAACCATTTGTAGAATGATCTAAACAATGCAGGTTTGTCCTGAATTTAACAAAAATATAAAGTTAATGAGCCCAAAGATCAGAATAAAGTAAATTTGCTGCCTGAGATACGATGACCAATTACAAACAGCTAATTTTAAAGAAACTATCATATGTCACTTGAAAGATAAAGGATTCTGTGTAAGTTTATGTTTTTTTACCTAGACCAGGTGAGTACTAAAACTTTGAATATTAAGAGGCTACCAGAAGAGCTAAATTCTACCCAGAATGGCAACTTTCTTGTCGATAAAAGGATCAGGTGCTGCTAAGGTAAAACTCTAGAACCCACATGCTCTACTATAACATTCAGAAATTTCAAAATGAAAGTACTACATAAATGCATCAGAAAAGTCTTACTTTAATGTGCAGCATGGTGTCACGGGTGTAGATAACATCAAATGTGTTGTTGGGATATGTCTTCTTTGTGATATCAGCAAGCTCAAACTCTACAGCGCATTTGAGTCCAATGGCACGATCCAGAGCAAAAGAAATCATATTGATGGAGAGGTCAATGCCAACAACTTCCACATCATATTCCTCAGCCATGTAAAAGTCACCTCCCCCAATGCCACATCCAACATCTAGGACTTTCTGCCCAGGCTTAAGATCAAGCCTTGCAACAAATTCTTTTGTTGTTTCTGTTCAAAGGCAAAGATACATTCACAACAATACAAGTATAACTCCACAAGATATTTGTAGCGCATATGCATTATTATACATATCTATTAGCACATACTTCATGTGTATATATAAATTAGTCAACATTCAGTCATGAATAAACATATGCCATTCATGTGCGTTTATACAATAAGCACCTCAAAATTCTGGTCAGATATATATATATATATATGTCTATGTATTTTGTGCAAAGATCTAAAACATGATGATGTTATACTTTAGATCCATTAGAAGCTGCATAAAAATGATCATTCCATACTTCCTTTCAAGCATCCATGTCTATATTGTGTTTATCTTTCAGGTCACAAAATATGATATTCGTCATCCTAACATTTGGGACTTCAAGCAACAGTGGAAACATAAAAATAAAAAAAATAAAAGCCCTCCGATTTTCCTCCAGCAAAAATTTAGAAAGGGCATATGACATACCAAATCCTCCTGTGCTCACAAAGCCATGTCCAAAGACACGCTCATACCGCATGATGCCACTATATTTATACTGAACAGTGTCTAAGAACCGCTGGAACCCCTTATCATCTTCTGAACGGACTTTCTGCCATAGCCAACATATCTGTATCATTCAAGCATCATCATGTAAGTAAAACTATTCACACAACAAACCTCAAAGAAATAAAATCAAATAGTTGAACTTATGTTGCCTGATTTTGGTTCTTCTTGTTTCTGACATAAGCTCCAATGCATTTGCAACTAACAAGAGAGAGTTCATAAGAATTTCCAAAATCATCACGCATATGACACTCTTTAAAGACCTGTCATGCAATACAGTACAAATCAGTGACAGTTGTTGATTGCACAAATTTGCTCTCATGGAAAGCATACATCTTTCCTTTCACATCATGTGCATCACAAATCCTCATCAGAGAAACAAAGGTTTGCCCTGTATAAGTCATTATATATCATAATCGGCATATCTTTTTATGAATGCTACGGTCACCAAGAAAACTTTTTCTTCACCTTAAAAAGAGTTTTATCTATCAATATTATTTTTCCCTTCAACCTAAGCTACAAATAAATTTGAAATCAACTCATCAATTTAATCTGGTCTTTTCCATATTCTAGGTTGCTTAATACCACTGTCCTTGACAGCAGAGACAAGCCACATTTATATATAATTAGACTACACATATTCAAATATTCAATCAACAAAATGTTTCAGAAGAAAAGGAACAAAAAGCAAACCTTCGTGTAAAATCTGGGCTCCCGGTAGTGGGTTGGGTTATGTTTTCGCTTGCTATCTCCAGATTGATGGAAACAAGACTCTCTAAAGAAAATGTAACCACCAACCTTTAACCATTTCACCATCCTTTCTTTCCTCCAGCATTAATTATTATTATTTTAATTGATTAAAGGGCCACATGGACTATACAAATCCTCCTGTGCTTTCACAAAGCCTGTCCAACAGAACACGCTCATACCGGCATTGAATGCCACTATATTTTTAATACTGAACCAGTGTTAAGAACCGCTGGAACCCCTTATCATCTTCTGAACGGACTTTCTGCCATAAGCCAACATATCTGTATCATTCAAGCATCATCATGTAAGTAACTATTCACACAACAAACTCACATCTTCAAAGAAGATTATTAAATCAAATTTAGCTTTGAATTACTATGTTTGCAAATGCCATTTTGGTTTCTTTACGTTTAAGTTTTGTCTTGACCATAAAGACTTCTATTACAATGCATTTTTGCAAGGCTACAAAGAGAGAGTTCTATTAAGAATAGATTTGACAAAATGCAATTTCAACGCATATGACAACATAAAATTTAAAGACTGTTCGTACATAACAGTACAGATCACTAGTTTGTACTTCAAGATTGTTGATTGTTCTCCAAATTTGTTGACATCGTCACCAATGGAAACGCAATTTACCATCTTTTCCTTCGGTTCATTTCGCGCTAAATAATGTGCTATTAACACACATAATTCTTCTTCAATATTATCTTACAGAAAATGATAAACCTAAAGGTTTTGCCCTGTAAAGGTAAGTCAATTATACTTATTACCATAATTATCCGCAGAAACTATGCTTTGTTTTATTTGTTAGGACTGCTACGGTCACCCGGTAAGTAATATATTTTCCGTTCACCTTCTTTAAAAAGAGTTTTTAACACTTCTCATAATATTGCAAATATTTTATTTACTTACTTCTCTATCCTAACTCTAAGGCTATTCATTATTAAAATGAAATATTACAACATTCATCTCAATTTAATCTGGTCTTTTTTCCATATTCCTAAGTTTATGCTTAATACACTTATCATTGTTCGCTTGACAAGCAAGAGACAAAGACTTCATCATTAATATATTTATAATTTAGATACATACATATTCGAAATAATTCCAATCACAAAATGTTTTCAGAAGAAAAAGGTAACAACAAAGCAAAACCCCTTCGTTGTTAAAAACTCATGGGCTCTTCCGGATTTTAGTACTTGGGTTGGGTTATGGTTTTCGCCTTGTTCAAATATATCTTCCAGATTTGTCATTAGACGAATAGTAAAACAAGACTCTCTAAGAAATGTAACCATATACAGCTTAACCTTTAATTCCATTTATACCATCCTTTATACTCACTCAGTATTCTCTATTCCTGCCAACTTATACATAATTTTAACCTGGGCACCTATTACAGGTTAATTTTAAAAAAAAATATCAAATTATTAAATCTAAAAGACACTTATTCTGTATAATTCTTTAAAGATGCCAGTTCATCTTCATTATGCTTCGCTAAACATAATGCTAGAGGATTTGCGTAGAATTATTGTATTACTATTGATACACTTATGAGCTTCAGGGTGAAAATAGTCTAAGGTAATTATTTCACTTCATCTTTAATTCCTGAAGAGAAGACTACATTCAAGTAGCTTGTGAATATCTTCGAGGCTTGACAGCAGAGACAAGCCACATTTATATATAATTAGACTACACATATTCAAATATTCAATCAACAAAATGTTTCAGAAGAAAAGGAACAAAAAGCAAACCTTCGTGTAAAATCTGGGCTCCCGGTAGTGGGTTGGGTTATGTTTTCGCTTGCTATCTCCAGATTGATGGAAACAAGACTCTCTAAAGAAAATGTAACCACCAACCTTTAACCATTTCACCATCCTTTCCACCAGATTCTCTACCTGCCATCCATGTTTACAGTAATTTTAAAAAAATTAAAAACTAAAAGACACTATTGAACTTTAAAGATGCCAGTACCAAACATAATGCTAGAGGGAGCAGAAATATTTGAATTAGTCACTATGAGCCAAGAAAACGCAAGAATTTTCACCTCTTTATCTGAGAGATACATAAGTAGCCAATTTGAGAATATTAAATCCACTGATCCTTCAGAAAATTTCAAGTCTTGGGATGTCACATCAGCGCATATAAACTTGACATTCTTGTAATGCCCATTAATGCTTTCATTCTGCAGGAAGGAAAAATATAGATACGACTCAGAACCAACTTTTGTAAAAAAAACTGAAGATACAGGGAGACTAATAACTTGTTAGGTATAAATGAATCATATAAAACTTTGCTGCAAATTTAAATTTTCATAATTTTTATATAAATGGATATTTATTTGGAATTCCATAAATTTTATGGAGTTGATTATGCTTGGACCAAATTCTAACAAAATTACTAGCATTTGCAAATAAACTCTAAACTTAAAAATGGAACAAGGTACTAGCTACAAAAGCTAATGAATTCCAAGTACAAATCTAGTAAAACTAGATACATAAAATGTTTTCTACATTTAATCCACCAATATTTAAAGTCACCTTCTTTATCACACTATCTATGAAGTCCAGAGCAACAAGCTGCCCAGCATTCTGTGCTATTTCTCCAGTAAAACGACCAATACCAGCTCCAAATTCCAAAACTGATTTCCCTTCATAGGATGGGAGCATAGAAAGCACCTGCACAGAGTCCCAACAATGATTACTTTGAAAAGCTCCTAGAAGACAATATTGATAATGCCTTTACTATAAAACAATTAAACAGGTTCTTCTCCAATACCTCGGGACGTTCTTCCTTGTCAAGATCAGAGGCTTTAGAATCAAGCATCATTGCTTCTACCGTCAGATCAACGGAGTGCTCCATCCAGTAGTTCCTCTGAATTTCACGCTCTTCAACTACCAAACAATAAAATAAAAAAGAAAATGCAAATGATTAAACTTGTCAAACCATTTGATACAAATAATTCGTTCATAACTCTCAAGTCCTACACCGAGCAACCCAGACCCTGATTCTATTTCTCGTTCATTTGTAAGAACCTAGAAAAAAAAAACCCAAAAAGATTTAATTTTACCATTATGAGCAGCCATTGCTAAATGCAGCGAGAAAGAGATCTCGAGTCCAAGGGAGGGAGCTCTAGATTTCGAAAGTTAATGGAATGGGAAAGGAAATGAAAGAATGTGGGTTAACGACCCTCAATGGCAAGGCGAGATCTAGAAAAAGTTCTGGATCGGCGGTTACAGGCTCTGCCTCTCTGCCGCATTACAAACACAAGAATCTGCAATGCGACAAGAACGACTATGACTCTACCTCTTCTGAGACCTTACCTTAACTTGGTATTGTGTTTGTGAGGTTTTATAGTTTGCAAAACTCCAATTTTGCCCTTCAAGATTTTATTATTCAAAAATTTATATACTTAAGTTTTAAGGAACAAGGGCAATGGCTCCTCAATTTTTTTTTTTTTTTTTTTTTTTTAAGAATTATTATAATTCAGAAATTTTTATACCCTCATATAAGTTTTTAAGGAAACAAGGGCAATGGCTCCTCAACTTTTTTTTTTTTTTTTTGTTTTTTTTGAAAAAGAGGACTACAACACCAGGGAAAAAAAAAAAAAACAATTACATAGAGATTTGTCTGGAATAGCTAATGCCACAGGTATCACTAATTTTAACGGTGTTATATTATTGAATTACCTAATATTCATAATCAAAATAGCTTTACCGAGATCAAGCGAGTATTTTATGAAATGTTGCTTCTCTAAATTTAACATTTGACAATTTTTAATTGAATTTTTTAAATTAATTTATAATTAATAGCTATTCAAATAATTAATTTTATCAAATATTTTTATTTTATACTACTGTACAAATAATAGTTAATTATTAAAGATTAATATCTATCGCTTATCAATTAATTAATAAAACAATTAACAACCACTAAAATAGCTAACAGCCGTTATATAATCAAATAAAACTTCAAAAATTTCATCAAATATTATTTTCTTATTGACACTTAATAGGTCACATCATCTAATATTACTGTAATTATTAAATTCGACTTGATTTGAAAAATTGGTGAACCGGCCTTAAAATTTCCTAATTTCTTTGAATCATTTAAAGGAAAATTTCAATTAAGTTAACTCACCTATGATTGAATCGATAGATTCATATAACCAATTTTTTAAAGTATTTTTTATTATATTATAATTATTTGATTAATATATATTTTATGACTTGCTAATTATATTATTGATTCACCGGTTAAATCAATAATTTATTTATATAGTTTTTTAACCGAGTAAATATTCGGGTCGGGTTTAATAATATTGACTATTACCCAACCTAATATTTACCTTCCTCGATCGACATAGACTCATCACGTGGGCTTACCATTAATGTAATAATACAACCGAAGAAAATGACCCTCTGTGAAACAGCGAATGGGCAGCGATATTTTGACAATTCTGTGATTAATAAAAATATAAACAAGATAGGATAGCTTAGGATCCTATGTTCTGTTGCCACGTTGAAACTTAAGAAGTGGCCCCACCCCATCGATTATTTTAGATTCAGATGATCCTAGATCCTATTTTAGGTTATTTTGTCCATCCTTAGGCCATTCAGTGCAGCGTGTCTTTACTTGTTTTGTTTTTTAATTTTTGTAGCATGGAGGGAGGGGCCTCGGCCAAGAGCATATTCAATGCATGAACATGCATTGCCGTGTCTCAAAAATTGAAAATTAAAAATAAAAATATTTTTTAATGTTATTGTTTACTAGTTTAATGTTTTAAAGAAAAATAGAAATTATTCAACATATTTTTTATTTTCAAAGAGTCTATTAGACATCATGATATAGCCATTTAACAATAATAATTTATTTATTTAACATAAAAAATTATCAATAATAATAGCTTTTCGTATAATGTTTAGTCTTTAAATTTGAATAATATTTTTAATTTTTTATTATTTATGAAATTTGATAGTTTCTACTATGGAGTCAGGAATGAAACTTAAGGGATGAAATAAAAAAAAGTATGGAGGTAGAGACGGAGGTAGCTAACATTTAACACGTGACAGAATAAGTTATTAAAATAATTAATTTTAACGGTAGTTACATCCCATTTCATCAATTATTTTCTACCAGTTATTAGTGACGCCTGTCCTTACTTCTTTTGTTTGGTAGCTAAAAAGGAAACCCTTTTCATTGTCATTGTCGTTTCCTAATCATTACAGCTGACGCTTCGCAGTTTTGAAGGGGTGGAAGATGGAAGGACAAAAAATAATATTATTATCCTCAATTTAAGTTCATAACTTTTTAAACTGAATCATCGATTAATAATTGATATATATATATATATAGCGTTTTATAATTATAAGGCACATTTTGTTTTTTTATCTAATAATAATTATTCTCACTTATCGAATATCCTTATTCTAAAAAAAATAAAAATAAAAATAAAAATAAAGTTTTTTAACCGAGTAAATATTCGGGTCGGGTTTAATAATATTGACTATTACCCAACCTAATATTTACCTTCCTCGATCGACATAGACTCATCACGTGGGCTTACCATTAATGTAATAATACAACCGAAGAAAATGACCCTCTGTGAAACAGCGAATGGGCAGCGATATTTTGACAATTCTGTGATTAATAAAAATATAAACAAGATAGGATAGCTTAGGATCCTATGTTCTGTTGCCACGTTGAAACTTAAGAAGTGGCCCCACCCCATCGATTATTTTAGATTCAGATGATCCTAGATCCTATTTTAGGTTATTTTGTCCATCCTTAGGCCATTCAGTGCAGCGTGTCTTTACTTGTTTTGTTTTTTAATTTTTGTAGCATGGAGGGAGGGGCCTCGGCCAAGAGCATATTCAATGCATGAACATGCATTGCCGTGTCTCAAAAATTGAAAATTAAAAATAAAAATATTTTTTAATGTTATTGTTTACTAGTTTAATGTTTTAAAGAAAAATAGAAATTATTCAACATATTTTTTATTTTCAAAGAGTCTATTAGACATCATGATATAGCCATTTAACAATAATAATTTATTTATTTAACATAAAAAATTATCAATAATAATAGCTTTTCGTATAATGTTTAGTCTTTAAATTTGAATAATATTTTTAATTTTTTATTATTTATGAAATTTGATAGTTTCTACTATGGAGTCAGGAATGAAACTTAAGGGATGAAATAAAAAAAAGTATGGAGGTAGAGACGGAGGTAGCTAACATTTAACACGTGACAGAATAAGTTATTAAAATAATTAATTTTAACGGTAGTTACATCCCATTTCATCAATTATTTTCTACCAGTTATTAGTGACGCCTGTCCTTACTTCTTTTGTTTGGTAGCTAAAAAGGAAACCCTTTTCATTGTCATTGTCGTTTCCTAATCATTACAGCTGACGCTTCGCAGTTTTGAAGGGGTGGAAGATGGAAGGACAAAAAATAATATTATTATCCTCAATTTAAGTTCATAACTTTTTAAACTGAATCATCGATTAATAATTGATATATATATATATATAGCGTTTTATAATTATAAGGCACATTTTGTTTTTTTATCTAATAATAATTATTCTCACTTATCGAATATCCTTATTCTAAAAAAAATAAAAATAAAAATAAAAATAAAAACATATTGAATAAGCTCTAAGGATAAAATTATTTTATTCACATAAAATTGCATTTTTTTTTTTTTGAAAGATATTGTATCTAGTTTCTAATGTTTAAAGTTTGACTATATTGTAGCTATTGAAAGTTTTTTTAATATTTTAATTTAATATTTTAAATATAAATCCCTCGAGTTCTTAAAAGGAGATGCAGTCGAATCTTACTTGATAGAAATATAATCGGTCTTCAAAAATTTTTTTTATAGTTAAGTAATATAATATTTAAATTAATTTTTAAATATTAAAATAACGTTTTATAAAAGATTAATCATTACAACGTTTAATTTTTATTATTTTATGAAAAATTATTCAATCAGCTACTAACTACTCACAACTTACTCAAACAACTAAATATTACTAAAACAGTTAACAACTATCAAAACTGTTAATTTTATCAAATAGGTCCAAAAGATGTACCTATTGTGACCAAAATTAGCGGCCAACTAGATACTGCTAAAAAAAAGAAAAAAAAGGCAAAAATAAAACCAATTTATTAAGATTTATTTCCTCAAAATTAAAAGGTGATTATGAAATATAAATAATAAAAGTAATATTTTAACTTAATTAAAATGCTAAAAGCTATATGAAAAATTCTTACCGAATAGGAGCTTAAACAAATTTAAAAATACTCTTGAGTGTTTATTGCAGCATATAAAAAAAAACAAAAAACAAAAACTTAATTCTAAACTAGCTAATTTATAAATAAATATTTTTTGAGACATTGCTAGTCTCCATATACATATAAACAATGCTGAGTTTAAAATTTTAAATGTAGTCAAACTTTAAATTATTCTTTGGTCTCTAACATTTTTTTTTTTAATAATTAGAAAGTGTAATACGTGAACGTAAAGATTTTTAGCTTTCTAGCGAGGTGCGCTTAACATCCATCATGTGTACTTTTCTTTTAGCACCGGTCCATAGTCACATTTAATCGAAAGGGATTACTAAAATTTTCCTTAAACCTTAACCATTTGTCCCCCTAGTTTATTCGGTAAAAGATTTACCTCTGTTAATTATGTCATACCTTTATACTAAATTGAGGGATTCCTAAATAAGGAAGATTAAGATTCTAATTATACCTTTGAGAAAGGATCCAGCTCCATTGTTGAATTCTTTCAAATCTGGGTATGATTCCTCACCTAGAAAATATTTGGAAAGAAATAAATTTATAAAGAACCATTTCCTTTTTCCTTCACTAGAATAAGGAGAAAAAAGACAAAATTTATGTACAGACAGAAAGAAGCAGAAGTCTCACCTTGAGTAGCCATTACAGAAGCAAGAAACAGACTTTTAATGGAGGAATGGATTTTGAACTTCAGATGTTAAAAAGAAAGCAAACTATGAAGCACAAATTGAAACTAGCAAGAGGAACTGAGTTTGTGTAGTGGTTGCATGAGGAGTGGGGTTTTTATAGAAATGAATTCCTTTTTCTTTTTTATTTTTTAAGTGCTAGAATAGACATATCTGGACAGATCTACCTCTAACCAACAAAAATCTGAAAATATTAGTAAAAAAATTATTAAATAATTTCCTTAATAACAAATCAGTTTTATCCCTTAAAATTTGCAAAATTATATCATCCCCAGAATTTAATTTCTACTCCAGCCACCTATCCCATCATCACTCACTGTATTCAACCTTGTTCAATAACAACATTCAAGCTA